GGGGGGGGGGGCTCCGTGTCTCAACTGTACAGCAGCAGCTACGCCACCACCCGGGCCGTACCTATCGAGGTAGACGAAGGTGTGTGTAGGTGACGCCTGCCCCCCCCGAAGTAGGACCTGGATGAGCATGTTAGACCGCCAGCACGGGTCGACGGGCGCCTGCTCCGCGGTGTCTCCATCAGCAGCATCAGCAGCAGCAGCAGCAGCAGCAGCAGCAGCATCACCACCCGGGGTGGCCGCGTCATCGAGCGCATGATCTCCGTCGAGCCAAGCCTGAAGGTCCTCCACGTCCTCGCGGGAGCTGACGCGACTCGACAGGTCGGCTGCGGCGGCGGAGGAGCGGCCAGCGCGGTGGTTGTCGGCATTGACGGGGGGCTGTGAATAATACCGGTGCAGCGTGGATCGTTCGTCCGTTTCACGAGACGCTTATCCGGGAAGCTTGGCTAACAAGAGGTGGTGACATTCCTTGCTTACTGACTTCTGGCAACCTGTGACAAAGCTGTAGTTACTTGTCGCCACCCCGACAGAGGTCAGCAACAAGGCCTGCAAGACTCCTATCGCTCGTTCACCAGAGCAGCACCTCCCTCCCTCCAATATGCCAACCATCCCAAAGGAAACGCCGCAGGGACAAAACTCGCGGGAGGAATTCCAAAAACTCCTCCGCAAGAAAAAGAGTTATCACCTGCGATCCGCTGCAAACTCGCGGGAATCCCAGTGGCTCCGTCCAAGTACGGGCATACCGGTGTCGGGTCTAGCGGCAAGAGTGGCCAGAGGGCCTCCGGCAACGTCTTCTTGATTCTGCAGAAATGTAGAATCAAGGGGGGNATGTAGAATCAAGGGGGGGGGGGTACTCATGTAATCGCATGCCGTAGTCGTTAGACCGTTGACCTCTCATCCCTGAAATGCCGGGACCGTGCGATACTGTATGCCGGTTTTTCGCCAGCCCAGGCTACGTTTCACAAGTACGGGAGAATATGCGTACACCAAGCAGCAGCCTCACACAACAAACCCAGCGGGTATAATAAGCCTTTGCAGCAACAGCAGTGAGGAACACGACGGCCCAGCGGGTTCACCGCACCAACGCCCATCGCCAATAAGCCTCGCGACTCCAAGTATGACGGCTTGACCCAGATCAAATAAGTGTGATCATTAACCGTCCCCGCTTTCTTTCTTTCTTTTCGTGTGTATGTGTTTTTCGCCGCTGAGCCTCCCCCCCCACCCCCCCCCCCCCCCCCCCCCCCCCCCCCCCCCCCCCCCCCCCCNACCCGGACACGCCTACAAGTACCTGTCGGTGTAGCTCAGCTTCACCAGCGCAGCCAGGACGTTCGACACGAACACCCTCTGAGCGTTGTCCGGCTGCAGCTCGACCACGTTGCACCAGTGCTTCCAGAAAGGCCACTTGTACTCAGTATTCTTGAGGTGGTCGGCGAACCTGTTGGGGTGTTACATCAACAGTCGCAGCAGCAGCAGCAGCAGCAGCAGACGGTAGTGTGATCATGATTATGCGTCTCCCCCACCTCAAAAAACAAACCATCGCGGCACTAACCCCCCCCGTAGGTCATGAATGCACATCCGTCACCTCCCGCATTGCAGAGCGTGGGAGGAATCGTACCATGGAATCGTACCGTACCGTGCATGTTCAGGAGATGGGACGAAAACACACAGCCTCTCACCAAGTCCCGAACCGTGATGCCACGGTGGAATCAAGGCGTTCCAGCTCGTCGAACAGCCGTCCCGTGCAGTACGATACCGCCGCAGGAGCCTGCAGGTACAAAGAGGTCGGGGTGGGGCGGCGGTGGCGTGGACACCAACCAAACCGCGCGCGCGGAGAAAGAAGATCAAGATCCGTGAGACGAGGTGAAGAGATAAGTGGTGCAAACAGAACACATTCAGCCGCGGTTTCAAGCCTCCGCTTTGGGGGAATATTGCAGGCTGCAATACTACCTCCGACGGGGTGTATTCCGTGTGTGACCCGCGATCGGCGCTCTTCCGTCGGATACACAAGACCGTAGGGAAGGGAAGGTAACTGTAGCTACGATAGTGGAGGAATTGCGCCGTGCGCTTGACGAATCTGCAAGCGACGGCAAATAAATGTTGTTGTTGTCTTCACATTCGAAACCGTTCCGATGTCTCTACCCAGTACCTTCATCTGTCCGTACTAGTTCACAGGCCAACTTACCTCCCAAAAAGGTGACCAAATAAAATGGACTCGAAATGAAACTATAGAATAAAAAAAGACAGCGGCACGGCGCTAGTGGATGCTCCATCACCGCCGAACGACACCGACCCACGGAAGCTCTTGTTGCAATCGATCTAGACAACCCTCGTTGCAACCGAACGTCTGTTCTGTGTAGGGACTTACCTCTTTGGGTACGATGCGGCACAGCTCCAAGATCGTGCGGTGGCAGGAAATCGCCAGGTGCTCCGCCGCGGGTAACTTTTCGAGTCAAGGCAACAAAGTAATGCGAGGAGGCGTGATTCCCCAGGGCGGGCGGCGCGCTAGCACTACAACGACGAAGAAAGACAATCTGAGGGTCTCGTGGCTTATACATCGGGAGCGGTGTAGCACGAACCAGCTGTTACGCCGTGTAAAATGTCCAACGTACACACAGTTCCGAGATGAGAAAGCTCTGATAAATTAGGGATGATGTGCGAGGAAAAAAAAAAATCGGCGAGGAAATGAGCTCGAGACCTCGAAATCTGAACGGCGACCGAATCGAGCCATGAGACAAGGAACAGCTTGAGACACAAGCCTTCTCCGGCGCCCTGCCCTGTGTCAAGCCCTTTCTTCTCCCATTTGGCACGAGCTACAATAAATACTCGCGGCATGAAACACGAACAGACCTATATTCTCCCACAAGATCGCATCTTACTTCGCCAACATCGTACCTTACACCCAGACAAGACAAGAACGTATCCCACTCCAGCAAGACCATACCTTAACGCAAATGCGACACGACAAGTTGCACCATAACATCGTATCATCGCATCGCATCTTACTGCACGACAAGAATCGTGGGGGCGGGGGGGTACAGCCCTTCCGTGCGCAGTTGTTGGCGATTTGCCAACAACACCCGAGGACGACAAGCAGAAGAGGGGCCACGCAAGTTCTGCACCCGTAAAAAAGGGGTTCACTAAATGCTGCGTGGCGCTCTCAGTCTCACCTGGAGCATAGCCAGGAATAAGACCTCCGTGATAAGGTACGCCACCTGGCACCCGCTGGGAGCCGAGTCGCGAATGCTGACCAGCTGGTCCACAAGCATGGCCCACTTGCCAACCTGCCCGAAAAATTACAACCACCAGCGAGGGAAAACTTGAGAAAACGACCGACAGCAACCTGCCGGAGTACAAGCCTTGATTGATATCTCCGCTTGTTTCACTCGAACTCGCCTCTTTTTTTTCTCTTTTTTTTTTATCCTGGGCTACTACTGTGCAGGAACTTTTCAGATTTATGGTGGTTATTATCCCGTGCCGAATTGTTTTCCTCGCGTCGAACCACTGCCACCACGAACGCCATGCAACACAAGGAAGGAAGGGTCGATATATTCCCGCGCGCAGCGGGACTGTTAAACAAAGTTCTCTCGTGCTTCAAACTGAAAAACTCGCGCTAGCTCAATGCCTACACTTCGCGCTTCGCTCGATGACCGCCTTCCAATATAGTACTATCTGAGTACATCTTGCTCCCAGAGAAGGGTCGCGGGCGCAAAGGATAGACCTCACACTGTGGTTCGGCTACGTCCAAAGTTACTCTGCGGCGGCGAACTGACCCCCCGCGTTTCAATGCGAGCGAGTACTGTACTGACCTTGGTGCCATCGGCTCGACACACAGGTTGGAAGCAGGCCAGGATATCCTTGCAGTACTCCACCAGCACGACACGCTGTGCAGTACAGTAGTGACAACAAAAAAGCAGACATGGGGGTCAACACAAACTCCGGCCCATCATGTGTGGGCGCCACGATACAACTGCGGTCGGGATGGATACTGTAAATGAAGTAATGCGAGTACCGCAAAAAGCAAGAGGCTTGAACAGTGTTGCTGCGTACACAGCACCGAGGACCGGCACGAAGAGCTAGACCAGGCACAACTATTGCCTGGACAGGCGTTATCAATCAGACAGAGCGCAGGGCACAAACAAGCCACCAACATCTCTACGCAGGGATGGCCGATCTATCCGTCGGTAAAGACCTTGGTTCAAGAAAGCATTCATGTATACTTATCCAAGGTTTGGCACGGGGGCCTGACCTCCTTAAATCAGGAGCTCCGGACATCACGAAGCGAAGTCACGGACTTTCCCCACCAAGAGCGATCTATACATTCAACGCTTGCCACGCATAATGTGCCTGACCTCCTTCTTAGGCAGGAGCTCTGGACAGCAAGAAGCTGGTCCGACACCGTCATCCTCGTCGAACAGGTCTCGCTCTCCCATGATACCCAAAGCGTAGCTCCAGTCGGGGCGGTCTGCGGGACTGTCGACGCGAAAAAAAAGAGAAGAAGAAAAAAACCTCAACATCAAGAACAAAAAAAATCCGACCAAAAAAAGGAGCCCGGCAGCGAAGACCACTGCAATCGCCAGCAATGCTCCGTGTTCTCTGCGCGTTCGTCCCGCACACCCTCTCGCGGCATTTCGGTAGCAAGGTGATCCACATCCCAACGCCGCCAAAACCGAGCAACAACAACAACGACGACAATAACAGCGAGTCGCAAGCCAAACGAACAACAGCGGAAACTGCGTCGTCGCCTTCTGTGTTCCTCCTTCGCGCACCCGCACCCACCTCGTGGTACCGACGTCCACGCCAGCGCAGGCGGCCATCTCGCACGGCCCCATGCCCGCCAACTCCGCCGGGATCGTATCCGATGTAACAAAGTCTTCCGGCAGCGAAAGGCTGCTCAGGTTCGAGAGCCTCGGCTCTGCCGTCGGGGTTTTCCACACCCGAGGCGTCGCCCGCGGCAGGTCGTCCTCGTTCCAGCCGCTGTCATGCAGCGCGCTCACGACCTCCCACAGGATGGAGAGGCTGTCCTCCATGGGCTGCTTGGTCTGGTCGCCTTGACGGTCTTCTCCATCGGCCCCGGGGTTTCCACCCTGTCGCAGCAGGCGAGGGGCGAAACGGTCGGGATTGTCTAGAGGGGGAAAATGGAGGGTGGATAACTATAAAAAAAATGGGAGGTGGATAGAGAGCAAACTGAGTTGGTGCATCCCCAGAGAAGTAAATAATGCTCCGCATTGATCTGCTATCGCGATTGTTTGAGGATTTTCTGAGTCTGTTCCATGTTTCCGTTTGATTTCTAGACGTGTGTGCCCGGTTATTGGGTGGTTGGGTTGCGATACGGAAGGCGCCCGAGTCGGTTGGACCAGTACGGATGCTTCCAAGGTACTGAGTACGTGTAGAGCTGGAACGATTTGTTCATGTAAAGACAACAACAACAACAACAACAACAACAACAGCAGCACGTGGGTTGGCACGTTTTTCATTGGCTAGCCGTCTCGCGCGGTCCATGCTCACGAAAGACGTCGACGGACGTCGTTCTAAACTGGAACAACAGGAGGTATTCAAGTACAAAATACACACGGCACACACGCGTACACCTTCCCGCGATTACAAAAAAGAAGGGAGGGGGGGCACTCACCGCATAGGCTTACCGTCTTCTTTCTGACCTCAAATCGGAGCTCTTCTCACATGTGGACAGACAAGAGCTGCAGGATAGCGTAGGTCCTCCGAGAGACGGTGTGGACGGGAACCCCAAAATGAAAAGAAACCTCTACGGCATGGAGGACGCACGCACGCACACCTGGTCTTCCTCCGCTTCGTCGTCGTCTTCCGGTGTGACGAACACCGCTCTCAGGCTGTTGAGGCGGAACGGCGCGTGACGCCCGGACATGAACAACCGCAGCTCGTCCATAAGGTTGCTGAACCCCGCAACCCACGCCTTGAATACAAGCGAGAGAGCAAACGAGAAAAACAAAAACAAAAACAGGACAAATTTGGAACCGAGAGAACATCAGCCGGGCAGCACGTGTGACGACTCATTTTATCGAATGCACCTGAAACTCGTTTTCTAGAATAGTCCGCACCCGGCAGGAGCAGACACGCCTCGGCGACAAGAATGTTAGAGAACAGACCCAGCAGAGACGGGATATCAAACACGTATCCCGCCCACGGGAAGATACTGTTGTAGCCGCCGTCCGTTCCAAGTGGCAAGGAGGGCCGGGTCGCTAACGACAAACCATCGCCGCAGCCCGAACCATCACCACAACGTCGTCAACGAAAACTCCGTCCGACGTACTATACAAGAGACAACAAATCCCGGGCGAAAAAAATCAGCCTTAGGATCACCGCAAGATTGCTGGTTGTTCTTGCCTTGGATAGAGTGGGTCCGACGCGCAGCACGGCCGAGAGCACCATGTAGGCGAGCATGTCGCGGCATGGCTGACGCACTCGGCGGGCCTCCGTCTTGACGTAGCCGGCGCAGAGCGTGGCGAGCATGTCCCCGTACTCCTGGGCCTCCACGAGACCGCAGTTCAGAAGCTCTCCCAGGAACCGAAGCAGGAGCTTCGCCCTTGTGAACCCGCCCTGCATTGACGTTGCACGTCACACACACACGCACTTTGAAACTTACGTGCCGGCATTTCGGAGGGGTCGTACTAATGCAACCGCATGCCGTAGACCTCGCATCCCTACAATGCCGGGACGAATTGTTTTCCACCCGCCCAGGCTACGTTGTTCTGCAAAGGATGGCGTTTCGGGTCGAGGGGCAAAAAATCTTTCGTGAACGGCAGGCAGGCAGGCAGGTAGGCAGGCAGGCAGGCAAGCATTCTGGCGCAGTGCAAAAATCGACCCCCATCGCCGACGAAGTGCTGTTCCCTCTCCGCAGCAGCACGCAACGCTACCGAGGGCGTGCGCGGCGTACCTACCTTCCGAAGAGCCTTGGCGAAGGCATGGCAACACCCGTCCACCACCAAGCGCCCGAAAGACGGGCCATCTTCCCGAGAGTCCGCCGCGTCGTCCGTGACCATGGAGTCCCCGGCGGCAGTGGCGTTACCATCATTATCATCACCCCCGCCGCCGTCCCCCCCGCCTCCCCGCTCACGGCTGCCGGAGCGCTTCGGCGACTTGGCCGACGCCACGCACAGCGCCGTCGTCAAGGCGTACACCTTTGCGGGACGGAGATTTTCGGAGATCGCACGCGGCCAAACTCGTGTGTGTGAGAAGGGGACGGCACATAACTACTGGTAGGGATTCTTGCGAAGACGAACTAACTACCGTGAGAGCGTTACACCTATCATGTTTTCAATACCGATCATGTCTATCATTTAAAACGAAAGTTAGAGGATCTCTTGTAAGATGACAATACAACGTCCTAGTCTTAACCGTAAACCATTCCGGTAAGGGACCAACGGGGTTGCATGACGCGTGGATGTGGCACTCATGACACAGCAGCTGTCTTCTCCGTGCTACAGTAATCTGATGAATGGCCTGTCCCCCTTACGTTCCGAGAAAAAAATCTGCGGAGCCCCCCGCAGCCTTGCCCTTGGGTACCGAGTGTTCTCTCTGAATCCCCGGTCCTCGTCGAACAAATGTTCTCTTTGCTCTCTCTCGCTTCGCCATGCTCATGGACACTACTCAGAACAAAAGCCAAGGCACACATTCTACATGATGTTTTGCTCAACATCTGGAGAAGCCACAGAACTCAACACTGCACAGCAGGTAGACACGTACCTACCCTAGTCGTCGTTGCACGCTTCTAAACCCCTCAAATCACATCCAAAAGGGTCTGAAATACGAAGAGGGATAACACAGGAGATTCATTTTCTGCCGGTGCTTGCCCCACGTTATTCAAGCGGGTGAAACCTTTCACAACTCCCCACTACTCCGTCAGATTGTTGGCCCTCAGAGATCCGTCACCACGCAAGGCGGTGCTGCGGGCTCTTCCTAGCCTGGGGAGTGCAGAACGCGCCACCACATAAGAAGGGAAGGACCCCTCACTATGGCCGAGGATAGTTTCTCTCATGGGGATCCCCCACGGTGACCATAGACCATAGGTTCCAGAATATTTGTAGTATTCTTGACTGAGTACATGTTCTTATGGCCAAGTTCTTAGAAATTAGACACCATGAGGCTAAACCTAAACATCTTCTTAACTGCGGCTGCAAAATTTCAGTGGTGGCACGTTCTGTAGTCGACCTTCGACCTCCAACGCGAGCACGCGCGTGGTGAAATCAATCTTCTCTCACTGGTGTCTGGATGCTCAGCGTCCCTGCCGCCTCCACCAGCAAGGTGGCCACGTCCTCCATATCGGCGCCGCCATCTAGGTACCGCCTCGCCGACAGCATGCGGGCCAACTCCACGGCCCGCTCTTCCGGCGGGTCCCTGGCGTAACCGCTGCGGGGCTCCGCAGGCTGCAATTATATTGGGGGCACGTCCCGCACGTCGCAATCGACGATAAGATTCCTCATGCTCGAGGGCAAACAAACGGGTGTTGGGGCTATAGCAGCTGTTGGCGATCGATGTGGCGTCAACGTGTTCACCAGGGCTACAATGCAGCAGTCAGAGGCGTGCGGAGTCTCGATAGTACTGTAGGGGCTTAAAATGTTGAGGATAAATTCATCTGGAGTCTTGTTACAGGAGGACGTGGCGTTGGCGGCACCGCGATGGGTGTGGGGCAAACTTACCCGCGCCTTGTCCGTTCCCGAGGACACACATTCAACGTACTACTATTGTCTCCCGTCAACACAACCCCAAGGAGCATATTTTTCTCCAACTATGCCTTGAATCGCTCCTGCCCGTGTTTAGAACCCGAGAGGCTAGACAAAGGGGAATCTTGTACATGCTGCTGAGATATACTCTGTATGCTGCAATCCATTGGTGACCCAAAGGATATCACGCCACGCCTGTGACCGATTTTGCAAAGCTCGAATGCTCCAAAGCAGGCAAGGTGGCAGTGACGAATATGGCGGCGTTGGAACCTTCTCATCGAGGGCTGCCGGCAACGTATCATGTCATTGATACGTTCTCTTCGTGTGGTGGCAGAGTACCGAGCCTTGACTGATCGGTACAAGAGGGTATGGTATCTTACGTCATCTGCTGTAGTCGAGGTCTACTGCCAACGAACACTCTTGTACCAACAAGTGAAGGAGTCGATAAAAGCGAGTCGTATGTACGTCCGAACGGTATGAACTCAGCCCAGGACACGCCGACCCCCTCAGCACACACAGAAAGAAACGAATGAAAGCATCCGCCGGAGGCAGAGTCTACCACAGCATACCTCCGCAAGCAGTTGCTTGATTGCTCGTAGCTTTCCCGCTCTCGGATCTTCCCGCCCTCCGCTGTTCCGCCTGTTGCCATTGCCATAGGCGCTGCCGGATGAGTACCTCCGGCCCGGTGGACTCCGACTTCTCTCACGACTGACAGGCAACAGCAGCAGGAAGCAGCACAAGTGAGAGACACCTACGAGCTGGCCCGAAGCGCATGGCCGCTGGTGGACACTGCTGGAGGGATAGTCTACACATCAAGACAGCAGGCCATCTTTCGAAACAACTCTCTCACCTTCGCTTTGACATTTTTGTTCCCTGGTCACAACTGGTGGAAGTTGTGACTTTAGAGACCCGCCAGGGCGTGCGGTGTTTGCCTTGCTCGCTGTGAGTCGGTGCGGGGTGTAGCAAGCAAGGTCAGGCTGGGCTGACCGCGCAACATCCGCCCTGCAGTGGGGGCACCGTCTATCAACATCGCCTTCCTGACGGGAGGGGGGGGACCATAGGGCAGGAACCGTGGGGCCATCCCGCCATATTATGGTACCACAGCACCACAGCACAGACAGGAGATGGCATGCCGTAGATATCAATTGCACCACCTCCAGGCTTCGTGATATCATGTCAAGCTCAAACCTGATGAGTGGTTCAGCTACAACCGACCAGGCTGAGCAGGCTTGGAATGATATGAAAAGATGCGAGGCGGCGAAAACAAACGGGTACGGATTGCGTGTCAAGAGGATTCTCAATGGATCCAAACAGGCGACGACAAGATCCGCACGAAGTACTCCGCGACGGGAGCCCACGGGCGGCGAATCTCCAGCTTCAACGTTAAGCAATACCGGTGCAACTTGTTCTCGTGAGCCTTTCGGAGAAGGAGGGCAAGGAAAACCGATATCTACAGGTGCATAATCAAAGTTCTGATTCATTTAGTCTATACAGTCAGTAGGTGGCGGTGAAATCCTGCAGTCGTGCGCGGGACAACATGTAGACTACTACAGGTACTGCAGTGCCGCCTCACCTGTGTTCCTACACTCAATTGTAGAGTTGGGGTTGTCAAGTAAAGACATCGGTTGCGACTAGGGTTGGCCATAACCACGATATTGTAAGGATGTGTGTCGTTGGTGCAGGCACTGCTCTGGAAGCTGAAATGTATGTGATGATTTGCACACCGCTGGTTTTTCTTCGACTCGGTCGACGGTAAAACCTTCACGACAAAAATCCTCCCGTTCGACGCCTCTTGCAGAGACAAGATCCCCGCACGACGTCGCCAGCGCCTTGCTGACTAGCTGGCAAAAATACACGAACGGGGCGGCTGATGGTGACGTGAGCACTAGGAAAACTGCAACGCAGCGCCTCGTCATCAATTTGCATGAGGTAGTACGACAAATCGGCGACGCACCGACTCCAGCACAGAGTGCGCCATCCTCTGGCCCGACCGAGGCCCCGGCTTCATTCCTGGAAGAAGTGTTGACGCTGTTGATGGAAAACTTGGCGAAAGTGGTCTTCAAGGGTCTGGCCGATCCTGCCGAAGCGTGTCGGTGAGACAATGGTCATGATAACTAGGTTCTGATAAGGTCAGGAAATGTTGCTGATGGATCGATCTGCCCTTGGTAAATACGAATACCTTCGGCCACGTAGTTACTGCTGTGACCTGCAGTCGAAGACCGTAATACTATCCTGATATGACTTCCGTCCAGCAAAACTTTGTGTTTTTTTTCCTCACGCCTCGCAGGGAAGCTTCCATCAAAGCAGTGGCACTGTTCATGGAGCACGTGCCGGATCTCACACCACATCTGGCTTACCTGTTTCCTGTCCTAATGGCTCGTGCAGTCCCAGCGGGAAGTCTGTACGACCCATCGCTGGAACTTTTCGTCCACGATAATGACGAGCATGAAGCTTACAAACGGTGCGTTTTCCATGTTAGGCATTCCCGTAGGGCATGATGTGGGCTGCAGCTTTCTGCGTACATGTCGACAAATCGAGATAGGAAATGACTGTATGTTAGTCTACCGAGATGCCTGACGTTCGATAGTCATGAGAGTGACTGCATACGGGCGTTACATTTTCTAGAGCCTTATCGTTATAGCTAATCTGCTTCTCGTTCAAAACGATGCTACAACTTTGCAACATGAACCCATTGAGGCACGCGGTCCGGCCTGTTGTGCCGTGGCCTAGAGAACCTTTGGGTTAGGGTTGGGTTTAGGGGTAGGGTTGGGTTTAGGGTTACCGTTGGGGTTAGGATTAATGACGAACCACGATTGCTGCCACTTGTGCGCAGGGGACGGGCAACAGAGCGCCAGGACCAGCATCCCCCGCAAGTCCAGCACATCGCAGAAGGGAGTGAAGAGCTGCGTCTGTCTCTCTGTCGAATGGTCGGTTGCATGCTGGCGAAACTTATGAACAGGGGTACGATAGGGGTGCTTCGACCCTATCTAGACGACACGATTCTGCTACTGGTGTCTCAATTCAGAGACCCTTACTCAGCGGTGAAAGTGGAAGCCCTATCCATCGTAACGAAGCTGGTGCTGCATCCACATGTGGAACAGGTGAGAAGCTGATGTTCTGGATCCATTTGGTGTCAATTACTGTACTTCATCGGTGATTCAGCAACAAATCCGACGATGCCAACCTCACCTTTCTTATACACGCAGGGAATGAAATTCTACGCGGTGGGCATATCACGGGCAATTCTGCCGCACCTCCGGCACAGGTCAGTTCTTCTAGTTTTACCCTGGGATACCTCAACGTATTCTCACGAGCCCCTGAATGTAAGACAGAGTAGGAGTTCGGTGGAGAATCTTCATCTTTCCGGACGGTGACCTGACCTTCGCATCCTTCTAGCAGAGCTTGCGGTGCCTTTCCGTTGGGATGCACCGGCCTGCCACAGAAACATTGTGTATGACTCCCCCATTACCTTTTGGACTTCGGGTAGTCGGCCAAGTTGAGTGAACGTGCAAGCGTCCAGTGACACCAGAGCATCGTGCTTAAGGTATCCAACCTCACGGTACCGCTCCAACACCTAGCTCTTGGTACGTGGTCTTCTTTGCGGCTTTTGGCCCAGGCACGCCAAGGTACGACTCGCTGCGATCAAGGCGCTGCGGCTGGCTGTGATGGTCCCCGATCGAGCGAAGGTCAAGGGTGCTGGTACATCAGCTATCGTTGACCTTGTGGGGTTTCGAGAAGACAACGTGCTTCCTGTAGCAGCGTTCTACGGAAGAGGAGATACAACGGTCAACTACCTCGCGGAGGTGAGTTAACTACCGAATAGATGTACGGTCCATACGGAAGATTTGCTGTACATATAAGCCTATCTCTCAATAAACCTACGCTTATCACCTTCGTCTCGCAGTTGACAACCGATCGAAGCGTATCGGTGCGGGCGGAGACGACTGCGATGCTTGGCGACTGGCTCACTTCTCTTCCTGACAGGTGCGCACTTGACTCACAGAGGTGCAGTATGTGAAGGGTGGACCTACAGGATAAGAAGTGTGGCGACTGTTTGTTTTTCTTTGCTCCTGACACCCTTGCACTTCCGTGCAGGTACGACCACCAGACGAGACTCTTGCCCTACGTCCTCAATGCGATCGCGGACGAAGCCGAGGTAAGTCATGAGAAAGTCACCGCTGTTTAATTTTGTTGAGCTTGCCTCCGTGGTTAAATTGTGAAGATTCTCTACGTGGTTAAGGAACATCGGGTCCTGCCCACAGCAGAAGCATCCAAACGAGAAGGGGAGTTTTTTTTCTCAAAAGACGACCGCTACTCTTTCTTGCCAGGTGGTTTCAACGATTGCAGTTGAGACCCTGTCCAAGTGCGGGGCAGAATACGAACGTGAACACCAAGGCGACGTCATAGAGAGAAGGCAGTTTGGAGTCGATGGAGATATTCGCGCCAATCACACCAAGCCTCTCCCACACCCTTTCTCCGGACGGCCCAGAATTGGTGCCCGCTTGTACGTGCGCGGCAATACTAGGCGATTTCTCATGGTGAGCGATGTATGGGTTTCATACAAATACACATGACGGCGTAGCAGGGGATACTCATGCGAATGCTGGGCAATAATGGGCCTGTGCCTTGAGGGTGAAACGTGAAAAAATAGACTGCTGTTTAGAATCATCTAAGTTAGTCCCCCCAACACTCAGTGCTTTGTCGCCCCCTTCTTTCGCCGACCCCCTCCGGCAGCCACTACTGGCGGAGATGTCCAACTGGATCAGCAAAACGAGGCTGCAGTCAGCGCTACTCTTCCGCACGCTGGTCGTCTACTGCGAGGAACACCTTACCGTGGAGACTCACAAGTTGATCCCGCACCTTCAGCGAGCCCTGCATCTAGCCACCAACGAGAAGGTGATGTTTGCAGGTTGACGTCGGTGCCTGCAAGCAAACGTCATCGTCGCACCGCAACAAGTTCTGCACTCATGGACATGTATGCATACTCATGGGCACATGTTGCTGCGCAGGATCACCTTCTAGAAAAAATTATCCTAGACTGCTGCGAACTGGTGGGGCGATATGTGGTCCCGGAGTCCTACCTGCCGCATATGCTGTCGCGCATCAAAGAAGACCCCGAGGTTGACCCTACCGGAAGCAGGTAAGGGTGAGAGGTACTTGGCGCATTTTCCGTCATCTACAAGTAGGTAACTACAGAGCGGGGATTTCCAACCATCCGTTGCTCGTGCTCCGCTTTAATGGAGTCGCTGTCGTATATTCCCCAAACGGCTTACTCTATGTGTGGGTTGTTCTATGACCACTACTCGTCCGTTCGATTCCGCAACGTACGAACACCGGCAGAGCTACCCTGCTGTCAATCTTGTGGAAATTGATGGAAGGGGCCCTCCCGAAGGTTCTCGTACCACACGCTGCAGACATCGTCGATGCTGTTACTGGTGAGCAGGTTGGACCATTCGCGATTCCGTTTTGTTGTAAGAAACGATGCCGTTAACACAAGCCAACGTACCTTTGTCCGGACGTCTGTCACAACGTAAGAAGCCATTGGGCGAGAGCAAAAGAGTTATGCATGACATTGAAGTGCGCCCTTGGCTGGAAACGCGCAACAAGAGTAACCGAATGGCGTCAAGGTGTCAATGGCAACGAGACTTACCTGTTTCCCAACGTTCTCACTCGCAAGTGCATGATTTCGCTGGAGGAAGCCGTGCAGCAACGACCAATGCACGGTAGCGAACGACATGCACACAACGTGACTAGCCGTACGACGTCTTGAAAATTGGGGAAAAGGTCGGGAAAGAACGCAAAGCATGAGAATAGGTTGTTCATGAGGTTTCCAACGACGCACATAGCCACGGAAGCTCGCCCTAAACCCTTTAAGGAAACGAATCGACGTATCATTTCTATCGGTACTCTTGGCACACAGCACGGTGCGAAGACATCGCGGGAGAACCTGTACGCGTACGCGGCGCGACCATCAAAGTGCTCTCCGTGGCCGCCAGCGCCATGGCGGGACTTGGGCGGCAGGCCGTCGAGGAGGTCACCTTCGCAACCACTGGGCGCCTTTCATCCACTGGGCGCCCCATCAAGTCTGCCCTAACATACCTGTTGGTGTGTAGGCGCTTGACTGGCTGCTTTCTCGCTGAGGTTGACCTAGTCCTCAGCAGCCTGGCGGAAGCTTGTGGCCTGGCCAGTGTGGAGTCACTGGTTACTGCCCATGCGGAAGAGCTCGCAGCGGGTGCATCCTCGGTGAGAAAATGAATCGGACCACTGTGAGACTAATCTATAAACGCGCATGCTGCTGTCATGTTCATTACTCCACCCGCCCGCGTGACCACGTACGATTGTTCACTCAGCGTGACCTAGCCCGTCCTCCTATTCTATTGCACCTGCCGCGTATCTTGCTCGAGAAGGACTTTCCGATTGGTCCTGTCTGGACCAGGACGTGCTACCCACAACTGGTGCTGGAATCTCTGCTCGCCGTGTGTGCACAAGCGCCAAAGACCTGTCCGGCGGTATTGCCGTATCTGCTCCGCCTCTGCCAGCAGATCGTAAGCAAGATCGAGAACTTCCCCGTGAGTGTTTCCGTTAACTACCGCTGGCCTTACGTGGGTTGGGTCGTGGCATCTGGTTACGGCCGGTCGGGATGGGATATGTAGGCCTTGTCGGTCCTTACATCCCCGGAACGACTAGACTAGGCAATTAGCCAGTACCACGGGTACAAGGTAGACAGGACATAGTCGCTTGCGACGCGTTGAACGAAAGCCATCAGTCAGACAGGGTTTCTTTTCCGTTCCAGATTTGGCATGAAAAAGTTGCTTCCCAGTTGTATTGTGGCATACCTCTCTTGGATGGTTTGAGACCGTGCCCGTTGTGCCTGCCCACGACACGGCAAGGGATTCTCGCCCTATGCTGACACCCCAAATAGTAACCACGAGGCAACGGTCATTTGAAATGTTGGTAGTTTGGCCCCCGGAGGACATTGGTCTCTCCAATTTGACCTGATTGTGCGTACCAAGGCTGTACTATTTTTTCATTCTGTCCACTATGCCCGGTGGCGCTCGCCGCGCGCAGATTGTTTTGCCTTGAACTCGAATCAGAATACTATTTGGTCGGCATGGCGTCGGTAGCTCGGTTTTTCTCATTCGTGATGTGCATTTATCCACACTGAAAACGACCCGTTTGCTGATGGTGTTTACAGGATGGGAGCCAAGAAGAGATATTGGCAACGTTTGTCGGTGCACTCGTGCTGAGAATAGCCCAAGTTTGGGAATACGGCGAAGGCTCCGTCCAAGCGGAAAGGGACGGAAAATCCAAGGAACACGACGCCCGCTGTATGCTGAAGCTCGGTCTGAATACTTGTTGGAACAAGACGCCTTTGTTGCGCCATCGTCAAATGGAGATGATCACGACGTTTATGGACAACAAGTCTTGGTGCCGGGTTTTGTCGACTTGCTCGTCACAAGTCGAGTTTCCGGCCGAGGATATGATGGCCGCTGTCGTAGGGCTTCTGGAGCACCCGCAAACTAAGCACCAGGAATGTTGTCAGGCGTTAACCCTTGTTTCCCAGGTCCTGAAAGTATCCAGCTGCTCGTCTTCTGACCAGCATGCCCACAGCCGTCAAGTCATCCCCTTCTCGCAGAGCGATAAGCCCGAGGAACTCGAGTGCTCCGCCATGGCCGCCAGCGCCTTCCCGTCAATAATCTCCAGATTGGATGGCAGTAATGACGACGTGCGGCGGATTGCCGTGAAAGCTTTGGCGGATTTCCTCCCTTTCGTGCAACCAGATGGCTCCTGCGGAGAGGGGACGCGCCCTGCCGTGCAGAAAGAGGAAAGTTGCGCTTCTTTTGGTGCCGACGGCGTTGAAAGGTCAGTGCTATTGCTGACGAAAAACGCCAAATGCTCCGTGCTCTTCCACCTCTCAAAAAGAAAGACCACAGACGTAGTAAAGCTTCGGCCGTTTGGGTAGCGTTTGTTGCGTATTCTTGCACGCGTTCTTCTTGCCCCAACATGCGCGACATTCTACGACCCACAGAAGAAAGACAGCACAACAAAATAGGAGCTCACATTTCATGATCAGTGTGAGAACGAAAAGCTGTTGAACTGCCTGGCATGGCGGGCTTCATGAAGTTGGGAAGGCCCGACGCGGCGGGAACATTTGGTGGAGGATGTCTGTCCGCTGCCTTAGTTCTTCGAAACGACCACACAGCGTTGTTTACCACTACGACTTATCTATTCTTGGGTGATTATGCGCCCCCTTATCGTGCGTCCTCTCCCAAAGGGAAACTGTTTCACGCAAAACACTCGTCCCCGCCATGAGCGTGAGAATACAGAGGGAACAGTACCATTGTTTCCAGACGGAGAGGACACACTCGCGTGCCCTCCGGGTCTTAGTCTCGCCGCGCTCGCAATGAGCGCCATGGTACACCGCAGACCACACAAGAACTTTTTTATTACTCGGGGGGAAAGACGACAGTCAGCCAGTGCATGCCTGATCAACGCTTCAACTCACCCCCCAATTCGCCGCAGTCGTAAAGCACAACTCTTCTTGTTTTGTTCATTGTTCACTTGGGGGTATTTTTCTTGTAGATGGTTTGAGGAATCCGTGCGTACGGTGTAACCACGCCTCAACCACGGTGACCTGTCCAAGTGACCTGGATTTCACGTTTTCTCGACGGCACGTGCCCCTCCCAAACCATGCGCGACAACGCTCAGCGACAGGACGAAGCTTCTCCGGTTCGGGCTGTTCGTCGAGAAGTGCGTGATGTATGCCACGAATGTGGTATCGGCTGAATCAGAGCTAATGGACGAGCTCGATACTCTTCTGCGAAGGGCGGCATGCTTAGATCCAAACGCGTTCATTTCGATCCTTGCCAGGTGGGGTTGATTGCGAAGACATTCGTGCCGCTATATCTGGGTGAACCCAAATGATTGCTTCTGACATGCTGCATACAAAAAGGATAGGATTGGTCAAGGAGGCATCAGTTGAGTTAGGTTCCTGAACAACTCAAGGTTGTTTGGCCCAATCCAGTCACCCATTCCCTCACGCGGTTTCATTCGAGTGCGCTGAGAAGTTTTTCCATGCATCATGTAGGTAATATCATAAATGTCGATAAAACCTACGCAGACGTATATACTGAGGCCTTGCTTCATTCATCCATCTTGTGCCTCGTGCTGTCTTCCGCACATCGTGGTGCTGCTTGGTGATTCTGCTACGATTTCTGTCGGTGTTGGTTTCCTTTGCACAGGTTGTCAGAGACTTCTGGGCTCTCCAAAGCAGCGCGGCAATGGATATCAAACCTTGCTGACCATGGCAGTGTTTTGACCATGCTCAGGGTGTCTTAGCGGCGACGGCGCAGTCGGATATTCGTACCCCGAGAGGCACGGTGGACAACACACCACATTTTGACAAACGGGATCGGAGGATTGTTTCTCCTCTTGGAGAACTGCTCACCCCGGCGGACCGGATACTAGTAATGGTCTCGCCTGCTTTCGAGGGGTGAAAAGCATGTGGCATGGACCGAAGTGCTGCAAGAACAACCGTTTTTTTAGGAACCTAACAAACATCGGAGATCGATTTCAGTTGAGAACATGGCCGATACGATCCAGAAGAGACATGGCGAATCATGGACTCTCTCGACACATGTCGGAATACTTTGTATCTAGGGGGTTATAACTACTGTTTGGCTGGTTCATTCGACAAAATGCGAGGCTATCCACGCTGTGCAGTCTCATGCTGTTGGAACATCAGGGGCTCGCCTAGAACACCAAGGTCTCATGCTCTCCAGAGGGTATACTCACCCGACTTCTGGTTGCACATCAAATGTAGGTTCGCCGAAGAGTTGACGTCCGACAAGGTCTAGTATTTAGGGCTGTGCCAATGGTCTCTACTTGTATTCAGAGCCGATATGTCAGTGTGCTCCCTGTGCGTGTTGTAAGACTTCTGGAGTTTCGAACAAAATTCATCGCGGTGTGCCTTGGGAAACGGGAACACCTTAAGGATGTATAATCCGCTACGGTTTGGAAAAACTTGAAACAAGGCCGTTTTGAATGAAGAGAGAGCCAACGCTGCCATCGAGGTCGTGTGTCTCTGTAGTTGCTCTTGTCCCTCTGTGGCCGTATCAAAGCAGCATGACAAGTGGTCATGAACATATCTGATTTCCTGACACACGGATGAATTTATTTCCTCGATGGTGTCGCCGCACCAAGGGTGATCTCGGTCGACTTTGATGGCGGTTTCAAGGAACAAATTACACGGCGCAGTTTCCAGACAGAAGGCCCTGCAGGCTCTTCTTTAATCTCTCGGTCATCTGTTTATCACCGGCAATACGGACGGAAAGCGAAGACTGTTTCTGCCCTCTCTAGAAGCTTCCGTCATATCAAATTGCACCACCAAAACAACAACAAAAATAACAATAAAAGAAGAAAAGGCAAATGGTACAGTGGGGTACTCAGTGAAGTCAACTACAGCGCAAAATATGGCACACTCGGCAAGGTACAAGTTCAAATGACGTTCGTTTACATCTCGCGTTTAAAGACGTCCACGCCTTCCCCTGTTTCTATGTCGCCCCCCTTACGGCCGCCATCTGTCGAAGGCCTTGATCGTGCCTCATTGCGAGGCTCGTCGCGTGCGCTCACACTTCTACCATCATCTCGATCCTTGTGCTTGTCATTCCCAGAACCCCCCATATCCAGCCCGGAAAAGCCCTCCTGGTGATCACCAGCGTTGTGGATGTCGCTATCGCTGCCGTTGGTGCTGCCGTTGGTACTGCCTTGCCCCCCGTCGTCGTCGCCGCTTCGGTGGTGTCTATAAGGGGTATGCATCCCTCTATCAACCTCCTCTCCTGCCTCTACTGCCCCGTCGACCGTTGCTACGACCACTCTTGCTGCCCCTTCTCTAGGCGGCCGTCCTTTTCGCGGTTCCTTCTGCACCATCGTCGCTCTCCCCTCCCCCCGTCCTTCTCTCCCCTGCTCGGTAGTCGAGCCCGCCGCATCAGCGCGCATCTGAGCGTCACGGTCAGCGATCTCCGCAGCTGCCTGCCTAGGGTCCATGCAACTATTGACGAACACTGCCTCACGGAGGAGCTTCATGAATCCCGTCTCGTCCTGGTGCGGCAGGTTGGCCGTGAAGCTGTAACAATCCTCGTACTCTAGGGCAAGCACCAGTGTCCAGAGGTACAGGCGGTCCGTCTCCGTGGTGAGGGAGCCTTTGGCGGGGTTGTGCGTAAACCTTTTGATGCGGTTTTGTGGGAGGCAACGGGATAGGGGTTCGACGGGGAGGGGAAGGCTGTCTTGGAGGGTATTCGCCGAGCTGAAGAAGAGGGAGGGGAGAGATCATCGTCCCATCCACGTTTCCTGGCGGTGTCTATCTCTGAGGAGCTACGACGGGAGGTAATGAAGACAACTCTGCGGTAGAAACCCTTCATTGCTATCCCGAAAAGGGGTGAGTTTGCTTGGCAACAGTTTTGCCGAAGACTTTTTAATACTAACGAACAAACGTCTTGTATGAACACTGCCATGCCGAGATTTGGACCCACGACGTTGTCTATGCGAAGGGTTCGAGCGACGATAGTTTCAGGCGTCGGGGGCGAGCCGACGTCAGTCAGATTTTGGCCGAAAAAACATGCTTGATCAAGGAAGACGGGGAGAATGACACTCCACACTTACGTGAAAACATTACAGTACACACTAACAACTCGATTTTGCGCCGACCAAATAGACTCGTCTGTCGGAGGTAAATCGTGTTCGTACGCAGGTAAAAAAGCTAGTATGGCTTCCCGTTTTTTGTACAGGAACGAAGCGAATCACCTTGCACGGGTTTCCGCGTAGGTTCTCTGCGTCAGCTTCTCCCCGTCGGCGCTCAGACTGAACACGTCCTCCTCGTAGGCGCTGGCGCCGTTCGCCGGCGGCCGCAGCCGGCGCAGCTTGTGGAACAGAAAGTGCTCCGTCCTTGAGAGGGCCTGGTCCCAGTACTCGTCGTCTTCTACGTACACCATAAAGTCGCAGGAGTCTAGCACGAACGGGAGCGCCAGACGATCTGCGGAGGGGTTCTGCGGAGGGAGGGAGAGCGGGAACGAGAGAAAGGTTGTCGGTCCGTGTGGCCAAGAGAAGGGAAGCGTAGGGTTGTCTGCCCTTTTGCCCTTTGGTTCCGGGGTGGCGGCTCTTTCCTCTGTACGAAGAACGGGCAATTGGAGGTTGAAGAATGAAAAAAAGGGGGAGAACGCCGTACAACCGCATTTACCTATGTTTCTTATGGGTAAGGTGCAGATCATTGGGTGCTTTCCACAACACCGCTGCTCATCGTTGGCCCGAAACGGCGACAGGCAACTGTATTGTTCCACCGATGGTCTCACCTGTTGATTTATGCAAGCGTAATCGATCCACAGGTATAACTCGTACGGATTACGACCCAGCCGTTTTGCCAGCTTCTGGACCAAGTAGCATACCTGACGTGACATCGATCCCACGGGGAACGAAGGGGGACGAAAAGTAAGGCGGGCAGTTACGAACCAGACATCAGGGCTGAATGAATCCTTCGTCGGGGGTGTGGTTATGGATCAATCATGCCGTGTGGCACCGGTGGAATTGACTGGCACAATCTTACCGGGAAGATTCAACATCAACGTGTACTTGGACACCACCTCACTGCTTCCCAAGTTCTGTATCCCATGAGGAAAAATTAAGTGCTTTCGCTGAAGAGCCCTGCCGAACAGTTGGGGAGGACCGACCCAGGGATCGGAGACGTAAGCAATAGCACACATGAGCATCATGGCAATAGCTGGTATCCCTCTTTCCAACCCGCCGTTTGACACCGTTCGTGAACGGGAGGGTGAGACTCAAACAACGCTTGGGCGCGGTGTGACGAACTAGATGCCTGCCGGCATACACGGTTTCCTGTCTCGCAAAGCACCCCTTTATTTGGCTATCGGATCTCAACCGATGCCGTGCATGTGCCCACACGTTGCCCGAAAAACTCCCTAAAAAGAAATATAACATGCCTGTACTCTCCAACGAAAAGAATATGTCGCTCTGTCACAGCATGTCATTGCCACACCGCTATGGGACAGTGAACGGCGCAAAGTCAAACCTATCTTGCTTCGACGCTCACGATACCTGGTAAAATCGGGCCTTGCTGTGGTCATCGGGGTTCTTAAAGTCAGGCTCCAGCCACCGGTGAGACACATACACCACGATGGGATCTTCCCCAGATTTGTCCGCTCTCGCCATCAGCTCGCGCACCGCCAACGGCCTCTTGGACCCGTGCCCTAAGAACCGGTACCCCGTTCGCTGTGGAATCTCGCCGAGCTCCGCCAAGTCGACGAAGGCCAAGAGGTACATCTGGGGGATGTGGACTGGGCTGGACTCCCGGAGGCCCTCGAACGCCGCGCGTCGCTCCCGGGGGGTGCCGAGCGGCCGCAGTCGGCGGAGCGCCCAGGTGATATTCAGCACCGCTTGCGTCGGGGAATAGGTCGCTACTTTCCCTCCGTTGTCAGCAGCGGCTGCGTTCTTGAGCCCCGACGTCGCCCTCGTGGAGCTCAGCCGGCGTCTCAAAGTGGTGGACAAGGGCGAGGAAGGGGACCTCAAGAACGCCTCGGTCACCGTCGTTGCTAGTTCGGTTTCTGATCGGGGGGATCTAGCGCTCGCGCCGCCCTCGCCTCCGCCGTGCGTCCCCTTGTCGCCGGAAAAACTTTGTTGCAACAGCAGCGAAATGCTCGCAGACAGGCGGCTCCACACGCTCGATCGCCGGGGTGCCGGGCGAGATGATCCGCTCTCTACCCTCCGCTCTCCCGCCTCGTCACTCTCCTCCTGCACTCTAGACGCATTAGCGCCATCCTCTAATCTTCCGCGAACCCGATTGCCTCCAACACAAGCACCGGTGTCAATTCCGCCGGTTCCTCCTCCCGCCGTCGTTTCCTCTCCCCCCTCCGCTTCTCCACCCCCTGCCATGTGTGTCCCACCCTGCTGCCTCCCGTTGCTCCTTGGGGTGCTTAAAGACGGTCGCCGTCTAGGCTTTTCGGATGTAGGTTGTTCAGATTCATCGTAATCCATTTCAAGTTGGTCATAAATCAAGTCCCCGCCCGGGATCGCATCCGAGGCTCTACGACGAACAACTTCCCGTCCTGGCGAAAGCGTCGTCCCACCAGTATCCCCCACCCCTTCTCGACAAATACCTGCGGCTGGTGATGTTGCAATGGTAACTGGTGTCATCGAAGAGGGCGAAACATGTCTATTTCTTTTATCATTGTCTTCGTGTCCAGCCTGGGACGAAAACGAGGAGGGCAAGTGCGCTGAGGAGGACGGGGAGGAACCCACCAGAGCTGGGACCCCGCCATTCTCGCCATCTTCGCACCGATCCCGGGAGTACGAGATCGAGAGGGCGGGGGGTAACCCCAGCGCGGCTGATGCCTCGGTTGTCGGCTGAGACGTAGTTTCACGGAGCGCGGGGTCGGCGGAGGTAGCCCCTACCGCAATGCCGACCCTACCGCTTGCCCTCCGCGCTGAAACCATTTCGGACATGCCGATCCACCGTGCCGCTGATCCCGCCACTTTTCGGACCTGTCTCCACCCGTGGACCAGGGGGCGCTCACGGGTATCCCCTTGGGCTCCCCTGATCTTGTCGCCGCTCGCCTTCCTAGGAGGGGACCGCGGCGACCTCGCTCGGTCGACCTTCGTTTTGAGCATGCGGGCTATGGGTGTTGATAACAAGCCGCCCTCCCGTTGTTGGCTGGAACTACTGATGACTCCCTGGAGGTACGCACAAGCTTCCTTCATTCCGGATTCTTCGGCGATGTCCAGGGGTGTCTGGCCGGTTGAGTCCACCGCGGAAGGGTTAGCTCCATTCTTCACGAGAAAATCGAGAGCCCTGACCATCCCCCGGCCCGCCGCAATGTGTGTGAGGCAGCCGACTTCCCCGTGCCTGAGAATGCCCCAGCTCCTCAGATCCACGAATGCTTCCATGGCGGTGTCGGTCTTCTTTACGGCGCTGGCGAGCCCTTGGGCGGCCCCGTGGATCAGCGTCAGCATCCGGGCCAACAGCACGGTGGAAGCTATGATCGAGGCCGCGAAAGCGATGAGCGAGAAGTAGAAGGTTGCCCCGACGGGGCCGCTTCCGTAGGCGTCACTTTCCTCCAGCTGCGACATGGCAAGCAGGAGTCCCTGGGAACGTAATTGGTTCCAAGATGGACATGTTCGGTTCCGGGGGGTGGAGCATGTAAGGTAGCCACGGGTGAGAAGTACGTGCACAGAACCAATGAAGCATCTTGAAAAGAGGAGACGCCTAGACTCAGAGGAAACTGAACACAACCCAGATTGTTGGGCTGCGGCAGTTCTAGCAATTAGCTCTGGAGCTGCTGCCAAAGTGCGTTTTTCTTCAGCCCAATTCCCCTGTAGTACAATGTGTGCTTTCCTTTTCTTATTCTTAAGGGGGAACACGGTTGGGTACGTTCTATTGGGGAAAAATATCTACAAATAACTGTGCAGCCTTGCTTTGCACTTTTTATTGAAACTTCTTCGTGGCTGCGTAGATTACCATGGGCTGCAATCGAGTATCACACGGCAGTCACCTGAATGATGCCGACCATGGAAGGCATGCCAGCGTTCATGCTGATGAGCTTTTCTTCGAGCACACCCCAGCGATCGGTCTCGCGTATGTCCCGCTCCACTTCTCCCTGGTGCGAAATCACCTTGCTCCACGCGTGAAGCGAATGTGCTGTCTGCAGCACGGGTGTGTCTACTGTCAAGCCGTGGAGCTGAGCCTGTCTCACCGTCTTGGTGAGGGCCGCCAGGGCCGCGTATTCATCGTCGACACAGCCCGGGTGTCCAGATAGGATTGCCTCCGCGGCCTTGAGGATGCAAGTCTCCGGAGGAAGGTGCGTGGGCGTTTCCGCCTGCGCCATCGTTCGTTGTGAAACCTCCAGCTGGTCGTCGTCGTCAATACCATCGCCGTTGTCGGCGGTGCTTGGGTCATTGATGTTGCCGTTGTCGATGCCGTTGGGGTCTGAGGAAGCTGCAACTGCTACGGCGGCAGCGTTGGCTGTCTTGCGTAGGGTGATTACCCCGTGCACGCTCCATGCCAACGACACGGCCGTAAGCGCGATGAAGGCCTGTGACCACAGCACCGAGCGAACCAGGTTGTTCCCCGGGCCGCGGTTTATGATGGCGTAGATAATAGATACTACCGGGGACGCCAAAAGGCTCACCAAAATCGTTACCTGTACACCAGAGGTAGGAAAATTTCGGGCAAGTTTGCGGCTGAGGTCCAGACGACAACCATAATGCACCTTGTGAGGCAGTATTGTTTCTTGTCAGGGCCTTATCCTACGCAAGTCTCAATACTTACTGTAGTTGACACGATGGCATTATGTGCCGCAGTCAAAATTTGATGTGTGTTCCTTGTTCCTCGCTGCGCTGGTACCTCTCTCTTCCCGCTTCTCGCCCCCCACCCCCTATCCCCTCCAATCACGCGCGACCTTCGCCTGCAAACTACAGTAAGACTCCAAGGATACCACCGAGGTCAAATTATTCCCTGGTGCCCAACCAAACAAAATTGCATTACGTACCTACTCTGCTGTACCATCAGTGGTATTGTATAGATCAGGATCATTTTTTGCGCGCGTCACGTGGTACCAAACACGAGATCAATGGTCTATATATTCGTTGTATGTTCCGCACACCAAGATTGCTAAATACTTCCGGTACATCCTGTAGATCTACATGTATCGTTAACCAAGCCCACCTGGTTCAGCGTGAGCGAAAACAGCGTCAAAAACACAAATGGCGTGCATACAAGCAGCACCGATACAACGCCAGAGCTCCACTCCGCTGCGAAGACGAACAGGGCAGGGCCGACCACGGCCAACGGCCAGAGGTTGGTGCAATCCAACATCCTCGAACGGCCGTGCGTGTGCTCGTGCGGCTCCTCGGCCTCGTTCTTCACTCTCGACGTCAAGACCATCTGTATGTTGGCTCCTCTGAATCTGTACCCCGAGGCGGGCTTGGAGACGTCCTCCAGGAGCCACCTTGCGCGGAGTTTGCTGTCGATCGAAAACGCCAGTGGGATGCAGGCGTATGGCCACATGTACAGCATCGCCAACCAAACTACGTGGCTTTCGGGTTCTACCATAGCCCCATTGCCTTGCTGGGGAGGTCGGTATCATGGACCAGTTGGCATTGCAGTTACCCCTCCCGATTTGAAACCCACCTTTCTCGGGGAAGGCGTCAGTACAGTGAACTGCTATTCACTTGCGTTTCGAAGCGCGCATTGTTATCGGACGCACCACGTTGGTCACCAGTGTTTGGCTCCACGGACAACATGTTCCGTTTCAAAACGAAACGGCACCGGTTCACTATAGTAAAAGCCAGGAGTCAGAAGTCAGAAGTCAGATCATCCGATCTCCGGTCCAGCATCGCCTCTTCCGCTTCATGTCCCTAGACTTCCGGCCGGCATCTCACTGAATCTTCACCGTAATGAAGTGACTATCAGCAGTCCCGTATCTAGCAGTTACTCAATCTTGCAGCAGTCTAGATATCTAGTCTAGCAGGACGTCTCTGTACTACACAATGTGGCGTTTGTTTGTGTCCTGTTTTTTTTTTTCAGAAAAAAGTTCGTTGTTGCAACTTGTAGCTCCATGTGAAAAGCTCTTGCACTGCTGTATGCATGCTAGCGCCCGCGAGTCCGGATCGAAGGATCGATCAAAAGCCCCAAACGAAAAACCTATATGTATCATTGCTGCTGTTGTACTCTCCTGCCTAATGCGCGATGCGCCACTCTTGTTCGAGCCAAGGATCACAAACACACCTCTCACATCGTCACTCTCCTGCTTGCAGTGGTTTACAAGAATATTCCCTGTGGACGCTAGTCGGTGTTCTTAAAAAAGAGTGGTACAATAATTCGAAAATTGTTTTGGTGTCGGCCAGCGATCGTCTCAGTTCGTCTCCTGTCTCCTGCCTCCAGCAACTGCAGTGTTCTCTCTCAGCCCGTTGGAATCCTCAACAAAGACAACGTCAGGGGTGAGTGATCTCGCAACCCTGAAGACTAAGGCCAGAGCTCTCTGGGCGTTTATGCCGAACTCTTACTCCCCTGTCTTGTAGGCTTGACAGTAAGTGCGCTGGCGCACGCCCCACGCCCCCTCGCCGAGATTCGCCAGTGGTGCCTGGACCATGCGAACACCACCCAGTGACGACGGAGATACGATCCCAAGCATTCGAGAGTAGTGGTGAAAGATGTACTGAGCTTGGTGCATAGGGTTTACCGCCGTGTGTGATTGCGATATCGGGGTATCTCCTAGTGGACCGATTTCTACTCACGTCCGTACAGGAGCTACAGGAGCATGACATTTGTGCTGCTGCAGTGTAGTATCCGGCTGGGACACCGGACACCGGGGTTACAGTAAGTAGCAGCGGAGATCGCAGTCTCCTACCGTACTACTGGAAGCCCAAATACATGGGGACACTTCCGGGACACATCGCTCAAACCCTTACTTACCGCACTGCTGTCGTCACCCTACTCTCCTGTCTGCAACGCAAGTGAGAACCCTTGGTCTATCATGGCAAAGGTGGTACGCTGTGTGATATGCTGTGTGATGCCTCTCGTGGGCCTTTGACTTGCTATGCACATCTCCCAACCGGCGTGCCCCCTAGGTCGTAAAACTTTACATCTCCTGGTACTCGAAAAAAATGCTGATTTGGCTTAAGTGTAGAACATGTCCCCACGTGTTTTGGGGACACTTGTTATTGTTATATATACTGAAGCCAAGTCGCCCTTTGTCTGGCAAGGAGTTCAGATTATTTGGAGGACTGTAACTCCTCGACCAATAACTCACAAACCTTTTTGCGACATTTTTTTTTGCTGAGGACTGGGTACTACGAGGGTTAGGCGAAGAACGAGCGGTGCTGCTGTAGTTCGTAGACTTTGTAGTCTACCACAGAGGTTACACTGCTGTCCGCTCCATCACAGAGGTTGGTCTACACTGCTGTGAGATCGGTAGGCCCGAGCGAGCTTTGGAAAGAGAAATGTAGATAGATGTTCTTATCAGCTGACTCCCTGGTCAGGCTTTGATGGGTGCTAGATGAGAGTGAGCACAAGGGGCGAAGGCGCGCTTGTGTCTCATCTCAACAACAAAACAAAACAAAAAACAAGCAGCAAAAACACAGCAGGTTCCGAGGGTCTCCGGGGTAATGGCCCCAGTACCGGAATTTCGGGGTTCGGAACAGTAAAAGAACTACAGNGCATGAGTGAATTCACCCTGCGAGCAATACACGCGTTCAAAACATTCAACCATACTATGCGATCTTGTGCTTAATATCTTCTAGCACTTGTAGTCCTTGATGAGTTGCATGATGGTGGCGAATCGCTGCTTCGGGAGATGTTTCGTCGCGATATCCGCCAACATCGTGGCACTAGGTTGGTGGTGAAGAGTGATCCGGTGCCCCTTCGTGAGTTCCCTGAGGAAGAAGAACCGGAGCGCGATGTGCTTGGTTCTAGAGCTGAACATCGCGTTGCTGGCCACAGTCAATGCTCCGGTG